TTTCACATTCCATTTCTAATCTTTATTCTTGTATGAATAAAATATTTTATTCAATTTTCACATTCCATTTCTAATCTTTATTCTTGTATGAATAAAATATTTTATTCAATTTTCACATTCCATTTGCAATCTTTATTCTTGTATGAAAAAGAGCATTCTTGCAAATTTCTCATTTTAAAAGTAGGAGTTCTTTCTTCACCTTTCATTTTTGCTGACAAGCTGAGGAAGCAAAAGAAACACTTCATTTTAGTTCTGACTAAAGAAGCAAGTTTTCTTCTTGATTCTCTGTTTCACCCATATTGTTTTATAAGTAACCTTATTTCCTGGTGTACCTGCTCTTGGGTTATGGTTAGAATTGGAACTAGGGATAGGAATTCCAATTATATTCTGGTTAGAATAATTCTCCAGGTAATCCAACATGGCTTTGCTTCATTTATGCCCTTGAGACATGTTGGTGATGAACTTCCATAAATGCGAGCCAGATACACTTTTATGAAATCCAGTTCAGTCTCTTGGGTTTGGGAAGGCTGAGAGACTTATTGATGATGATTTTTCATAAGAAAATAGAAGCCCTACTAAAAAAAAATTTCTCAGCATTCCACGATACCGTACAACTTACCAGCTAGGTTTGGGATATTCAGAAGCATGGACAGCAGAGAACTTAAACAGCAATTGCAGAAAGTGGGATTAAACCTACCGGTCTACTTTATTAGGCTTCCAAATTGATAAAAAGAAAAGAAGAAATAGAACAGCTCACTACTTGATTGAACGAATGTGTTATCTGACCTTGAGTTATTCCTGCTAATTCTGTGCTATGATTAGAATAGTCTTGGAATTGCTCCATGCCTTCAAATTCTTCCTACATAACTAAAATACACTGCATAGTTTTGTGCAATGGAGATGTCTATTCATTAGCAGATTTGTGGCAATGGAGATAATCATACAATCCATCCTGATCATTTGCATAGATAGTTTCACAGTGAAAGCAGTGTGGGACCTGTTATCATGCATCCATGATACCAGCATATCATCCATGTACATAAATATAAAACAGAAGCAGGTTCTTAATTCTCTTAAGTTCTGTTATTTTTATTGTACTCTTTAAAAGATAATCACCTCTCGTATATTTATTTGGAATTTTATACCTCCCTGTGCCGCCCTGTGTCATACTCTATAAATAAGTTTCTGGTGCTATTAGAACATTAAAACTAAACATTTGGTTTTATACAGAGTACATATTTGTCTTTTAACTGTTCAATATCCACATTTATTAATAAAATTGTATTATTTCTCCTTTCTTTCGGAATGGTTCCAGGAATCCCATGGAAGCTGCATGTATGGATTGAGTCACTACGAACAACTTTTTATCAGTCTCGTTATTCAGTGGTACAGAATCTCCTACGGGAATTTGTCACCATTAAAGAAGAAGAATACAATGAAGAGTTAGTGAATGAAGGACTGAAACTAATGTTTGAAATTCTCAGAACCAGCAAAGTAAGTTATTCTAAAACTTTACACATCACTTCATCTCCTTTGCCTCATTTCATAACATCATTCTTGATGCAGAAATCCGGAGATCTCAAACGTTTATGTCATTTTGGTGATCTTTGGCCTGGGCAAGACATGCAAATAATGCTGTATGAAGAAAGACATCTACTGGCACTGGATTACTAGGCTAGATCTCAAAGATACCAATTGTCAAGAGTCATCTACCATACTCTTATTGCTTGTTAGGTTGCTTGCACTTCCTAGTCATTCATTCATTCATTCATTCATTCATTTGCATCCATTCTGCAGCTGGATTTGTTGACTTTCTTCTTCTGAAGTTGCAAACACTCAGAGGTAGAAATCTATTAGGTATCCTCCTCCTCCTTGATCAACCTTCAGAGGTGCATATTTCTGACACTGAAATGATAGTTCAATCAGAAATGTGAAAGAAGTCAAAGGGCTGAACAGTCTCACAGTTTACAGTCACGTACTGGACAAAAATTAAGCCAGTAGAATAAACTTACCATCTGGATTAAGCTTTCCTGAATGTGAATACAGCAATATCACTGAGTTCTTATAATGGAGAATATAACAAAAAGGCAGCTGCAGATTTCACATGTTCATGGCCAACAAATTAGCATGTTTGTCTCATTAGTTATTCTTCTAGAAAATGGATGTGAAATCAGAGAACTAGTTTTAAAAGAATGGTTGGTTTTTGAAACTCAATGCTCCCCTTTGCTTTGTACTTAAGTTCTTGGCGCAGTCCCTTGCTTTTAGCCTCACCTGTCTACTTGTTGAGAAAAAGCTGTTTTGGGAAAGGGTAAGATGGGTTTTCTTTTTGTCTTAGCCATTTTGATAAGATATTTACAATGAGGTCCAAAATTATAACCTAACCAAAAGGAGTTTAAGCTGTTGAAAAAACATAATTAGTTCTAGGTTTTCACTCATCCCAGCTATATGTATTTATGCTTGTTTACTGGCAACACAAACAGGGACCAGAAGAAAAAGCTCTCTTTTGTACTAGAAGCCCTGATTCTAATAATTTAAATCACCTGTCGTTGTCATCATTAGCCACTCAGTCATGTCCAATCCTTGGCTACTCTGTGGATCAGTACTCTCCATGCCCCTCTGTTTCACACCGCCTCCTTCAGATGTGCCATGGTCATCCCAGTGTCATCTCCCTAACCTCTGGTCGCCTCATGAAACTGGGCCATGGAAACAAGTGAAGCCCCTTCCGTGGGATGCAGGCAGTACACAAAACCAAGCCGCCTCCGGTCCACAGAACTGGTCTCTGGTGCCTAAAAGTTTGGAGGCCACTGCTTTATAGGATTCAGCCAATGGGTACTAGGGTGGCCTCTTCTCCTTTTTCCACTGATCATTCCCAGCATGATTGTCTTTTCAAGTGAATCAGCTCTCATGACAGGACCAAAGTATGACAGCTTCTCTTTGGTTTATCTGTAATGAGTGAATAAAGGTATTCATTCATAAATTCACCTCCACAGGTTAGTAATATTTTAAACTCTCCCTTTCTGTCATACAACTAAACACAAAATTTACAATTTAGTGTGTTCCATTTATATAAATACATAAATCTCAATACCACCAATACCTTTACAAAATATATTGTTTTGTTGATCAATCCTCCTCTGGTATTTGCAATTATTTCTTTCCAGAAATTGGAATGCGACAAAAATGGCGAAATACTTCAGAAAATCTAGTTGAGTTAACTTTATATTTCTTAGGTACAAGAGATCCTCAGATCCCTTATAGGTGGAGGTATGTGGAAAGTAAAGGCCAAAGTGGTCAGTGGTAGAAGGAGCACTTTGGTCTGTGAATCCTAAACTGGGAGAGTGGCTCCAACAGTTCTCAGGAGCAACATCAGAGCTTAGTCCAGAAGAGGGAAGTACCAGGATCAAACAGAGATAATGTGCGGAACCCTCAAACTCATGGGCCTTTGGTAAAAAAGATGCCACCTGTAGGTTGAGAAAGGAATTTTATTTATTTTGGATTATAGGTATATGTGTCAGTGCAGATTCAATTATTCTTCCCTCGGAGAATTGCATTCAGCAATTACTCTCTTGGCAAAGAGATGAATTCAAGTGTTTTATCTTTTGCTCTCCTATGCATAATAGAAACAGAATAATATGTTTCTTTAACTTGTCTATTCACAGAATGACTCAATCAGCCAGCATCTCGCAGCTATCTTTACTCACTGCTATGGAAGTAGCCCCATCCCCAGTATTCCTGAAATCAGAAAGACACTGCCAGCCCGCCTAGGTAACATAGTTAACCTTCAATCAGCAGTTATTGGGTGGATATTGGTTTCTTATCCTGCTTTTCTACAATGAAACGTAATTAAACTTCCTCTTTTTTTTCTCTTTTATGCAGATCCTCACTTTCTAAATAACAAAGATATGTCTGATGTGACGTTTCAAGTGGAAGGAAAACTGTTCTATGCTCATAAAGTTCTCTTGGTTACTGCTTCAAATAGGTGAGTTTCTCCCTCAGCGAGTAGTACTTGGTACTGAATTATGCAAAAGATCTCCCAAGTTACAGCACATGGATGATACCTTATCCTGTACTGACAAATAACCTTTTTGAGAAGTTACTTGTAGATGTTAAAGAAGAGTCAAAACAGAGTAGAATTCTAAGAAACCCTCCAAACGAGGATCCTTAAGTTAGGTCCCCCCCCCCATCACACTGAGTGGACAAGACCATAGAGGAAGGATGAGAACCATCCAAACATCATGTCTTTCCCTTTAAAACCTCAAAGCCACTCTAGAAGGATACTATAACCATGATAGCAGAAGGCACTGAGAAATCAAGGAAAATTAGGATAAGTGACCACAACCATCCCAATCCTTCCAAAGGTCATCTGCAAGTGCAATTAACAGAGACTCTAGAAAGAGTGCAGAGAATAGCAACAAAAATGATTAGGGGACTTGAGGCTAAAAGATATGAAGAACAGCTGCAGGAACTGGGTATGTCTAGTTTAATGAAAAGAAGGACTAGGGGAGACATGAAAGCAGTGTTCCAATATCTCAGGGGCTACCACAAAGAAAAGGGAGTCAAGCTATTTTCCAAAGCACCTGAGGGTAGAACAAGAAGCAATGGGTGGAAACTAATCAAGGAGAGAAGCAACCTAGAACTAAGGAGAAATTTCCAGACAGTNAGCTGTTGAGCTACCAACCAGCCCCAGAGGCTGTGAATCTCACCAAAGATTAACCACATAACAATAATAATCATCATAATATTCAAGACTAACGACTCGCAAGTAATCTTGCATGAGTTTGTCGCCTCAATTTATCTGCAGCAGTGAGAATTACTCAGTGCACAGCATGGACAGAAAAAGGCTTAATTTCCTTATCCCTCAAAAAAAGTTTTAATTCATTTTTGTCCTTCCTTCCTCCCAAAAAAACCTTAAAATTAAAATAGGTTTAATTAATATCTGTAGAGTTATTACAGATTCATGATTATTCATGATTGCTAGGATACTTGGATACTAGCATCCCAGTGGCTGCTAGGTTGACCACTATGGTTGACCACTGTGGAAACAAAAAGCTGGATTAGTTGGGCCTTCTATGTAATTCAGCACAGCTCTTCATAAGGTGTTCTGCTGTTCTTTGAAGAACCTTCAATATTATGGCGGGGAGTGTTGTAGTACGGACTGTATAAACTAATATCAAACAGTCAGTTGCTTCCTGCTTCCTTCCACAGTTCAGTTGCTATATATTCTACCGGTTTTACAATCATTGTTTGCTGTTTTGGTGTCATATGTTTAGCATATTAATGTTTAAATACCACTTGAAAATCTCAATACCTCTTCAGAATCTAAATATTTATAGGAAATTATTTTGACGATGAGGCTAACTTTATATTTATGAATACTCAATTTGGAGTATTGCTGTATATACTGTAAGTATATTTTAGGCATGAAAGATTTCAGTGAAAATCTTTAACTCTTTAATAATTCTGTATGACTACTGAAAAGTCATTTAAGCACTCTTAAGGTTCTCTGAAAAACTATGAAAAGTAGTTATTATACGAAGAAAAATGCATTGAAGAGTCAGTTGCAGTCAGCTGGCATCAGTATCAAACAAATACATAAATTGAATTTTAAGATTGCTAAATTAAATGCATTGAACAGAATATTAGCAGTTTTCTTTAACTGCTCAGAAATAGGCTAACAGTGCAAAATTTCTTTCTTCCAAGTCTTTCAGTCTAGCATTTCCAAAAGTGCTGAATATAAGTAAATGCTTTTTAAGAAACAAATGGATTTCTGTCAAAAGTTTAGAATAAACAAAAGTCACACATTGGAATTTTCCAATCTGCTATCTTGGCAGCATCATCCCATATTGTTTTCCTAACCTTAACTGCTTTATTTAGTCATATGCAACACCAACAATTAAAACATAAGTACTCCATATGTTTAGAGAGAGAAAAGCTTTGATAATTTCATCAAGGTCTCTTAGTAAAAAAAAAAAAGAAAAGACCAAAGAACCTCAATTTGCACATACAGAAGAAACTGTCAAATGATTCTGCTAACTATCCATATAAAAGACCTATTGGGAGATAACCACACAACAAGACTAAAGTTAATTCACCAATATGGAAGGCAACTGTATGACATTAAAAAGTGATGACTGCACTTGCAACCCTTATTCTGCCTGGGCATCGAAACAATGCCTATTGTCTTCCTGCTGGACCCAAGTAAAAATTGCACAATCAACTCCTACTAATTGATCTGTAGTTTCAGCCTGACACAAAGATAGAAGAACTTGTGTCTCAAGAGCCCTTCCCCATGCTCACATGCATGCATGCCTACAGACTCACTCAGTTCATACATACTTCTCTTGCTATCTCACCCAGCCTGGCAGCTGCACAGCTACTTGCCAAATCTAGCAAATAAAATGGGAGGGATGGGACCTTCCTGTTGCCAAAAGACTGAAAAACAATGGCTAGGGACCAAAGGGATGGATAGGGTCACAGTGGTTTCAAATGGGCAACAAGAACAATAGGACCCTATTGTTCTACCTTCTGTTGTATGTGCTATAGCATCCACATAATAAGATCCCTTCTGGAGATGCTGAAGAACATCCATCTGATGATCCCTTCTCCTTGTGGCTCCCTCCTTTTGGAACATCATTCCCATGGAAATTAGACTGGCCCCACTTTGACACTCTTTCTCAAAGCCTTAGAAACCTGGTTTTGCCAACAGACCTGGGGAACCCAGAGTGGGAAGGAGCCCATCAAGTGGCTTGTTAGATTGATGTTTTTTGTTGTCTGGGGATTAGGATTAAGGTGTTTGTATATTGGGCTTTTATTTGTGGTAAGCTCCAGTCTCTGAGAGTGAGTGGCCAGCCATATAAATTCTCTAATTAAATGAATAAGTCCCTGCATAGCAGGATGAGTTGAAGACAAGATCATATGTTAACAAAACTGTTAACAAAGCATTTGTCTTAGGTATGATCTACACATGGTCAAGTGAGGTGAGCATGAATGATAGGATTGTAATTTTTCAGTCTACAAGAAGAATTATGCCTCTTCTGAACGTTTCCTGTAAATGATCAACAACAATGAGAGTTAAAACCATTGCCTATTTGTAGGAAATTTTAGTTAGAAACATTATTTAGAAACATGATCTCCTTATGTGAAGTCTGAAATAATACAATCCTTTATGCCACCTCAGATTTCTGCCATATCAAATGTAAAACAGTCCTCAGATTAATAGTGAGGAAGACAAATACTGTAGCAGGAATGATATGCAACAAACATAATTCTGTGTCTTTCATTTATATCTGTGAATGCAAGATCACAACATGCTGAGATATAGGGCCCTAGCTATAATATTAATGACAATATTAATAAACTGTGGTTGTACTGTTTGATTGTAACACTTCCACAGGCCAGAATGCTGCTTTAGTTCCTTCCGGCGAATGGATGCAAAGGCTGCTACTGAAAAATTCCAGCAGGATCTGGGGTTTCGAATGTTGAACTGTGGAAGGACTGATCTGATTAACCAAGCTATAGAAGCCTTAGGACCCGAAGGAGTTAATACAATGGATGATCAGGTATATAAAAATCAGTTCTGTAACATTCATGACATAGACGAGCAAATCCCAAGTCCGGGTTATAACCATCCATAGACATAGAAAGACATAGCAAAAAAGTTGTGGTGGTGCAGTGGTTAGGATATAGTACTGCAGGCTACTTCTGCTGACTGCTGGCTGCCTGCAATTTGGCAGTTCGAATCTCAGCAGGCTCAAGGTTCACTCAGCTTTCCATCCTTCTGAAGTTGGTAAAATGAGGATCCAGATTGTTGGGGGACAATATACTGACTCTGTAAACCGCTTGGAATAAAAGCATTGTGAAGCGGTATATAAATTTAAATGCTATTGCTAATACTATTGCTATCATGTAAAGAGTATTAGGGTATTGGGGTATTGGGGAAAGAGTATTTCCCCAAACCAGCATGTAAACGTTTTTACTACAGGTTGACTCAGGGCTACTCTGATATTCTGCATCCTTCAGCACTAGGAGCATTTAACTGATTCTAGTTATTTTAGCAAAACTGGGTGCATGTGTGGTTCGCCTCCTTCTCCTTAAAGCATCATCCCATTATGGGAGACTTCAAGTCAATAGAAAGCAGTAACTAAATTTGTAATGGGAAATAGAAGAATTTCAGAAGCCTCATTAATCTGACTGATATCATGAAGGCATTGTAAAGATTTATAGGCAAATTACATTTGTAAAGCAAATATAGTAGCTGTAAACCAATGTCATTTCAGTGTTTAAGCATATCTTCTGGAACTCACTTCTGCCCAGCTCTGAGGCCAGTTCATAACCCAATGTGTTATGTTGATGTAGCAATTTTCCACTATTAACCTGTGTTTATGCTTTCATGTGTTGTGTGAATGCACTCATTTTATGTCTCTCAGATAAAAAAAGAGAAGGAAAACAATCGTGCAACATTTAATCATTTCTGCAGGAGAATCAATATAAATCCTTACACTGAAATTAATGCAACGTCTAGTCTACTTCTAATGTTTATAAGAACAAAAAAATATTTATGCCGAAGTATATCATACATGGATAACATATGTATTATAAAGTGTGAGGAAACAGATGTTCATATGTAGAATATATAGAACCTAACGTTTTGTTTCTGAGCTTTGCTTTTGGAAATAAAATAACTGGCTATGTGCCTTGTTCTTAAAGGGTATGACTCCTCTCATGTATGCCTGTACTGCTGGAGATGAAGCCATGGTGCAGATGTTGATTGATGCTGGAGCAAATCTGGATATACCGGTAAGTGAAAAGCAGCTGCAGAAAGGTAAATGAGTATGGATTCTTATGTAATGATTACAAAATGAAATATTGTATTTTGGGTGCTTTTTATCAAGGCAACCTAGTCAACCCAAATATAGGATGGAGCATACTGTTTCCGCTTGCGCCTTTCAGCCCCAGACCAGGAGCCTCTTCACAGGCAGTCGCTTTCGCAACAAACTACTTTTTGTGTGTTTGTTGAATTTATATTTACCGACAAAGAAATAAAGGGAGACTAATATAGATCTATTTTGATCTAGTTAGCTATTTATTGGCTAGCTGACGAGAGCTAAATAGCTCAGAATAGATCTATACTAATCTCCCTTTATTTCTTTGTCGGTAAATATAAATTCAACATTGTATTTTGAGGTTCATATAATAATTTGCTGAATAGGTTTGGAGAGAAATTTCTTTCTTTTTAGAAATGATGGTGATAGTGGTTTATGGATTCTAAAGTAACAATACTTGCCGTAGATGAGATTATGAATCACAATGCAAAGGAATGCAAAAATTGAAAGAATAAATTATTTTCCCTCTGCAAGCACAACCTCTAAAGAAAACTAGCAGGTGCATTTTAAATCAACAAACCAGTCTAAAGAATTAAACACACTGATTGGGGTTGACAGAATTTTCGGCATTTTGTCAGCCTACAGATTCCAAGGATTGCAATTTACCAGCGTTGTGCTATTCTCAAATGCATTTTAGGAGCTTAACAACAAGAAGAATTGCAACCAATAAATATTTCTCCCTTTTTCCCAGGTTCCTGGAAGTTCATCTCGATACCCATCAGTTCATCCTGATAGCCGACACTGGACTGCGCTCACTTTTTCTGTATTACATGGCCATATCTCAGTCGTCCAGGTCAGCAAAAGACAAGTTGTTAAAGTTTCACACGCAACCTGAAAAGAGTATGATCGGAGATCCATAACACATCACTAACAAGATGAAAAACCATTTTGCCTGGGATTTTGTAGATTGCTTGAACATGCCTGGGAGGCACTACTCTGCATTTGATGCTAAATATGCCTCCATTTCGAAGCACATGTGTTCTCACTAGCAATGAGAGGCAGCTTGGTCTAGTGGTTAATTAGTTAAAAACCAGGAGACTGAGATCTAGTCCACCTTAGCTATCAAAGCCAGCTGGGCATTTTGGAGCCAGTCATATATCTTACTCAATAGCTGACCTTAGGGGCAGTCATTCTCTTTCATCCATCCATCCATCCATCTCTCCCTCCCTCCCTCCCTCCCTCCCTCTCTCTCTCTCTCTCTCTCTCTCTCTCTCTCACACACACACACGTTATTGTGGGAAAAATAAGAAGAGGAAGGTATGTTGGATATGTTTCTCATCTTGAGATATTTATAAAAATAATCAGGTGGATATAAATAAATAAACAAAATGCCTTTCTCAGACTTTTCCCCAGGAAAACTGGCAACAATTCATAAATGCAAATTTAGGAGAGCAGTAGCCCCACCAATTATTTCAGAAACAAAGCATTGCTTTCATACTCATTAATTTTTGGATATTTTCACTGGGATAGACAATGCTTTACAAGCTGGAAGGTACATAATGTGCCAAGGCACCTGATTGGGCCCATTTATTGACATGCATTTGTATAAGCACTGAAAGATGTAGAACTGTCTGCACACACACAAAACATACAATCTTCAGACACTTATTTCACATAGACACAGACAGCTGCATGCAAAATCTACATAGCGTCTCACTGTTGTGGATGAACAGGCAGGTATAAAGATAAACCAACCTTCCTGCCTTAAAGCAATCTTAGGTAGGAAGAAGGAAGGAGATAGGAAACTGTCTTTACTTCCTGGTAAAAGAAATCAGAAGCTGCTTAGCTTGAAAAAGCAGGAAAGAGTGGGCAAGGGTCTGGAGATCTTGTAAAAATGTTGTGGGTACAGACCAGGGGTGGGTTTCAACCAGTTCGCGGCAGTCCCTGCGAACCGGTTGGTCAGCGAACCTGGAAGTAAGTAACTTCCGGGAACGGCGAAGGGCGCGCCCGCCCGCGGTCCTTACCCGGTTTTGACAAGTTCTGCGCTTCTACGCATGCGCAGGATGCATACAGCGCCTGCACGATCCTCCAGGAGCAGCTGGAGCATCGCGCAGACGCTAGTACGCATGCATGCACCGCGTGCGTGCACGAGGACGCCGCCGGCCCCGTTCCAACCGAACCGGTTGGAACGGGGGGAGAAACCCACCCCTGGTACAGACACACAGGCTGTCAATGGACATCCTAACTGCAAGCACTTCTCTGAAACCAAAGTGGCATAGATATATAAGTAGTAGAGCAGCTTCTGCCTCAGACAGTCCAAAAAGACAAGGAACACAAAACAGAAGGGACTGGGATGGAGGAGGACAAAAGCAGGTGCAGGCTGCTTCTTTCTTTCAGTTTCATATCTTCTTATAATAGACTGATTGGAGTAGAATACATCCAAATAGCTTTATGGAATGGTGCTCAGCTGGTGAGATTTGAGAAATCAGAGGCCATGAATCAAAAAATGGATACAATTATTTAGGAACAATTCCGAATTCAAAGCATATTTTCAAATGATTTTCCATATCTGCCACTTTTTTTAGAACTAGCTGGAAATGTTATGTTTTTATGCATCTGACATACAGCTGTCTCTTTGAAAATTACCAGAGCTTAAAAAAAAAAAGACAGAGAAAACTTTTAGAGATGGCAAATTGAATTCCAAAAGTGTTGTATGTTAGAACTATCAAATCCGGGCTGCAAAATTCCAAATAACCACCAGTGAGTAGCAGAGGCTTACAAAATATTATTTGCTGCCATCTATTGACCACCTTGAATGTTGCACTCCACATCTAGTAACCTTACTGTGTAGGTCTTACAACAGGCAACCAAGGAAAGTATATGCCATGATTAGCAGTCTCCCTGCCTCCATTTCTTCTTCATATTCCCTGTTGTTGTTGTTTTACAGCTGCTGCTGGATGCAGGGGCCCATGTTGAAGGTTCTGCTGTCAACAGTGGAGAAGACAACTATGCTGAGACACCACTTCAACTGGCCTCAGCAGCAGGCNTACATAGTACCAAGAAAGGGATGGTTAGTGTAGATCAGGGGTAGTCAACCCACTTTTGTATTTCTGGTAGTAATAAAATTTTCTAACCACCCACCAGTTCCACAGTAATGGTGATTTATAAAGTAGGGAAGAAACTTTACTTTATAAAATTTATAAAGCAGAGTTACAGCAAATCCCTACCGCCCACCATGAAAGCTGGAACGCCCACTAGTAGGGGCCAGGTTGACTACCACTGGTGTAGATGGTGAAGGCACCAGACTAGAAACCAGGGACTCCAGGGGAGTTCTAGTCTTGCCTTAGGCATGAAAGCTATCTGGGTGACTTTGGGCCAGTTATTCTCTCTGTCAGCCCAACCCACCGCACAGGATAATTGTGGGGAAAATAGGAAGAGGAAGGAGTATTGTATATGTTTGCTTGAATTGTGTATAAAAATAATAAATGCAAGAAATGAATAAATAACAATGTTGATAATCTTTCAGACTCTTTTCAATAACTTACAGCACTGCCTAGCCTTTGTCTTGAAAAATTAAGGACAATGAATTATAATAGAACTATGCAGACACTTAAAGATGCAATGGAAAGGTGAAAAAATATCCTAGAAGGCAACAATAACAAACCCCATCCACATTGTCACAAACATACAGATGTGCTCACACAAAGGTGGGCATATCCAGGATTTGATGTTGATCTGAGGGAAACTATATGTTATCATATTGAAAACTTCCCATCCCAACGACCTTGGACAGAGGCATTATTAGGGTATATTATTCCTCAATTAAGCATTCCGAACTTTCTGGGAAAATGCAGTTTGGAGGAATTACTTAATCCCTCACAATTGCTAGTGTATCTCTCTGACTCAGATGCCTTTAACAATTTGAATTGATAAATCAGGACAAAAACTATTGTGCAAAGACAGCTTTTGGAATAGTCCCCAAAATTTATAGGGTTGCAAAATTTATCCTCTCACATATTCCTACGTGTACGTTGACATTCTTTTGAAAGGCCCGTCTCAAGAGATTGCAATAAATGAGACCGTGAGACCTATTCTGTATTTTCTTCCATTCCCGGTAAATACTTTTAGTTCTAAAAATGCATTTATTATTTTTTTAATATACACTGATATTTTTCATTTTTAAAACGTGTTACATTTTAAGATATATAATTTTTTTTGCATGTCACCCAAACGACGACTTCAGCTTAGGGATAACCTAGAGATATTGAATGTCAATGGAATGAGCAAAATGTTAAAATAATGCCTTCTCTTTCATCCCGGCCAGTTGCTCTCAGCTGCAAGTTTATTCCAGTTGGATGGCCTCCAGCGCCACTGCGAGATACTGTGTGCTCAGACCATCAATACTGAAAGTTGTGTTCACATCTATAAATATGCCAAGGTAAAGATGACATTCTAGTCAACTTCCATGTATAAGAATGCCAGATCTTAGGAGAGGAATTGGGAAAAACGGCCTTTAATGCATCAGAAGCTGGAAACCAGTAAAAGAGGTCTTATAGACAAGGCCAGACTTAAGAAAGATTCCCCTGTTTATAGGGGGAAACCAAGTATTGCAAAATAATAAACAATTCCATGGGTGGCAGCTGAATATGAAGCTGAATATGAAGATCCAGGCCTCTCTTACTTCGGTTTACTTTATTTCTTTTCTTCATAAGACCCATCATACATGCCTCAAATTTGTTTGACTGCTAACATTATTCATTCTTGGGAAGTTAATCATCATTCTTCCATATTAATTGCAGTCTTCCATGACCAAAGAGGAGCAGGTAATCCTTGGTTAACAACCACAATTGGGGCCGGCAACTTGTTAAGCAAAGTAGTTGCTAAGTTGAAACTGTGACTCTGTTTATGAACTTGCCCCGAGAAGGTCATCAATTGTGAAAATTGGTCAAAAAGTTACTTTTTCATCCCTATTGTACCTGTGAATAGTCGCTAAACAAGGACTGCCTGTATTAGCCTGCCAGTTCCACTGACCAGTTGCTCATTCCCTTTTAAGGTTTCCTTAACTTTGGCTCAACAAGCAGCAGAAGAAAAGAGCGTTTGGGAGGGGAGGCATTTTAACCACTTCAAAATATCCCCGTGGAATAACCACGCAGAAAGTGGGTGGACACAAACACACTGACAAAATCGACAGTATTTTTTAACCAAAGGATGAAAATGCTCTCAGGCATTTGCTATCAGGATAAAGCTGTTTTGGGAGGGAGAAGGGTGGGAGAGAGGGGGGGGGGATAATTGACAGCTGCCTAATGTGTGTTTTATCACAGCATCCCTTTGTTTTTTATAGATCCATAATGCCCCAGAACTGGCTTCTTTTTGCGAAGGCTTTTTTCTCAAGCATATGAACTCCCTGGTGCAGCAGGAATCGTTCAGGCAGCTCATCTATGGCAGGAACAGTAGGGTTCAGGGCCTGGATCCCCTCCAGGATTTGCAGTCCACTTTGGCCAGAAGACTTCATTCCGTTTATGTAACTTCAAGAGTGTAATTGCTAAGATCCGCAGCCCTGCTGTTAAGGAAAGCCCCTGCTCATTGAACTGCACTGAAATGGGCCCATCGTGGCTGCTTCATCCGGCAGCCCATCGTGGCTGCTTCATCCGGCTTCTGAAGACTGTGCCTCTTCCACCACCTCAGCAAACTTATCCAAAACGCAAGAAAAATAACTCACATGCCAGAATGGTTTTAGCTGAAAACGGATGAGCAGAATCTGAGGTGGGATGCTGCTATTCTGCTAGGTACGCATCAGAAAGGAGAACTCAGGGGGAAATTCACTTCTAAGCATCCAGAAGATCACTTAGAAGAATGCACAAACCATAGTTGGCATTTAGCCAGAGGACAGACTGTTTAAAAAAATGGCTATGAATGTAGAAATTCCAATTTCTCTCAACTTTGGCTACTCAAAGTTTAATATTGGGCTAGCTGATTCCACCAGAGTGCCATGCTGCAAACAGATCCGGCTTTTTGCTTTTTCCATTCAGACGTGCAGGTTCAGTAGGGGCTAAAGCTAAAAAAAAGAAGAAGCTAGTTTTGAAGATACAATAATATGCTACCTAACAGATTCTAGGTTATTTTGGCCTCGGTTTTTAACTAGCTCTGGCTGTCCATTTTTGTATTTAAAGAAACATAACCTGGTGTCCCTAATACAGTGTTTCTCAACCTTGGCAACTTGAAGATGTCCGGACTTCAACTCCAAGAATTCCCCAGCCAGCATTCGCTGGCTGGAGAATTCTGGGAGTTGAAGTCCAGACATCTTCAAGTTGCCAAGTTTGAGAAACACTGTCCTAATATTTACAGCTACCCACGTCTTTGTGCAAATTATTATCGCCAAGACCATCACACTGTGGTATCTATGATACTGGTTGTTGCAGATAGAATTTCTCTTATTTCTGCAATATAGCTGTATATAAAGGGCTGGGCTTTGCTTTGTCAACGCTATTATAGCAAAAACTGCCTGAAATGCCTGATCTGGTGCTTATGATCTGGACCACCGTCTGCCTGGGAATTATGTGCATCACGCACAGAAATAGGACTAGGGAATTCCAGCTAAAGGGATCTCTGTATAGAAAGACTGTATATTTGTGCGTATCATTTTTAGAACTGGAAGTTGCAAGCAATAATCAAGCTCCGTGCAGACTACACACGCAGCCTGAATTGTATGATTTCGAATGAGAGCCACATTGAAATACTGCTACTGCACCATTCGCTGCATGTGATAGCATGCT